CACCCCCCCGAGACTATTTTTTTTAAAATGACCATATATAATTTTTTCCGTTTCTTTTTTTTTTTATACAAGCGAAAATTAGGCGGCAAGGGGAAAGGGGGGGGGGGGGGAGGGGGGGGAGGGCAAAGTTATGAAATGCGGGACCAGAAACAGTGGCAGGATGGGGGGGGCAGGAGGCGGGGGAGAAAAAACCAGGGATGAGGGGAAGGAAAGCCGTCTTTGCGGGGGGGACAAAGTGAAGGGGTGCCCTTGGCACCCAGAACAGCTGGGAGGGGAGCATTCTTGTGGCTTTCTTGTTTCCTCACCCCTCTGGTTAAAAACGAAGCTGGGGATGGGGAAATCCCCCTGGGTAGAGTGGGGTGGACGTCGACCCAGAAGTGAGAGAAGAGGCACAAACGGAAGGAAGAAAGAAATGAGGGTTCGGGAGGCCTGGTCCCCAGGGGGAGCCTTCTGGAGACAGGAGACCAGCTTCTCTGCAGGGGGAGAGCTTGGAGGAGATCCTCCCCATGCTTCGCTCCCCCCGTTGTGGCCCGTCCGGCTCCCCCTCGGTCTTCCTGCCAGACGGGGAGAAGCATTTGCAGTTCCATCCTCGCCATGCCCGGGGAGGGCCTCTCCGTCACTCTGCCCCAGGTCTGGGAGCTCCTGCAGAAAGAAGACGCTGTCAAAGGGGAGGAAGGAGAGAAAAAAAGCGGGGCCTTTAAGCAACCCGCCACAGGGCTCAAGAAGGTCATCTATACCTACCCCCCGGCCGATCTGCTGGAAGGAGAGGAGGAGGAAGAGCGGGGCGAGATTTCCAGCCGGGCGGGTCGAGGACAGGGGGAGGAGGAGGAGGGTCAGGCAGAGGTAGGTCACTGGCACCTGGGAGGGGAAATTGAGGCAGGAGAGAAAAGGAGAGAGAAGGCGTTAACAGTGGGAACCTGGCTCTCCAGGGAGGGTTATGACCCCAAAACCCAGCCATCGCCTTTCCAACTTCCCAGGAATAAGTTTTACAAAGTTATACAAAGTTTTATAAAGTTTTACAAAGTTTTACAAAGTTATACAAAGTTTTACAAAGTAATACAAAGATGCATTCTCTGAGCGTGCTCCGAGTGCTTTTCCTTCCCCAGCAAACATTCGTAAGGGAAGGCCAGCACCGCCTCACCTCCAGAGCCCAGGTTCCGTCCCCGATCTGACTCCAGCTTGTCGCATGACTGGGCTCGCCGTGTTCTCTTTGGTTTGAGAGGAGCCGTCTTCCTCCCCACCTCGGGTTCCCCTAGAACGGAAACGGGAGCATCAGAGAGTCCTGAGCCCCGGAGAAAACTTGTTGGTTAAGGTGACCGTGCCCGGGCTTTAAAAAACCCAGGGGCAACTAGATGGCAGCAGAGTTCATGCTCTCAGTAGCCCTTTGCTGCCCTCTGCTGGCCATAATATATGCGGCATGGTTCTGGTTGCCCTGCTGCTGGTCCTTCTGGAGATCTTGAAAGGTTTAAAGCAGTGTTTTTCAAACTTGGCGACTTTAAGATGGGTGGACTTCAACTCCCAGAATTCCCCAGTCCACCCATCAAAGTCTCCAAGTTTGAAAAACACTGCTTTAAATGAATGGGGACCATCCTCAGTTGAGGAGCAGACACCCTTGAGGTCTCCTGGGGATCTCAGTAGCCAGACAGACTGGCACTCGTGGTGAGATCTTGGGAAAAGTTCCTGTTGATCCCATCTGGCCATTCTGCTTAACAAAGCTCAGAACGGAACGTTGTTTTTGCTCCTGTCCCTTCAGGAAACCAACATCGGGATGATTGCCGCGAGTGGCTGGCCGTTGATAAAATTGGTAACGCACCCCCTGCTCACCCTGGGCTCCTCTCCTCACATTCAAGAACCAAATTAATCAAGAACGGCAGTGCCATTTTCTCCAGAAATGAATGAGGAACCTCTGTTAGCCTTAAAACATTAATTAAGTCAAACCCCCAGCCCTCCAAGAAGATGGGAAAGAGGACCCCAACCCCCCCCTCGCGTGGCCTTTAGCAACAAAAGATCGCCCACCCCATTAAACAAACCAGAATAGAGAAGTTGCAGAATAATCACTTGGTGTTTCGTTCCTCGGCTGCTGCTTCAGCATTTTCACCTTGCCGCGGCTCTTTATTCACTCCGTGTCATTTTGAATATGCTGCCTCAGAGCAGCGTTTCACGTCGGACATTGGAAAAAATAATGACAGGATGCCCGGGGCCTGTTTGGCTGAAACGGCCATGGTATTCCCGTGATGGAAGGCCAGGCTTTTGTCACTTGCCCAGAATTGTTGGGCAACGTGGATCCTGATTTTTTTTTCCCCCAAAGGGGCAAATATTACAGGCTTTCCAAACACTTGCATGGCCTCTCAAGGTGAATATGGTCCAGGAATCTGATATATGCGTGGCCAGATGGTTAAAAAGTCAGGGTAACTGTGCAGGCTTTTGATCCGTCACCAACAGAAGCATTTAACGGTGGAGCCCTTGATGCTCTCTGAGCTTGGCTGTTTGATTGAGGACGTTTCATTACCCGACTAGGTAACGTCGTCAGCGCTGGTGAGGGTGGGGTTAGAGAGCAGGGCAGAGCGCATCCATGAACACCAACTAGCAGTCAGAAGACACGATGAAAACTCCTTAATCTCACAACACACGGACAGACTCGACCATAGTTTCAGCTGGGAGACGGTGAGCGCCCTAGACCAAGCTACATCCAAAAACGCTAGGGAATTCCTGGAAGCTTGGCATTCAGACAAATCAGCCATCAACAGACACAGAGAGATAAACTACATTTACATACCATACAAAAGAGACAATAAAAAAGCTAAGAAGGAAACAAAAAGACCAGAACACGTCCTCTCCAGGAGCCTCCACCCAGATAAGCGGGGATTAACACCAGACAAACAATCAAGCAGAGAACAATACCCCAATCAAGGAACTACCAAGCAGAAAATCACACACACACCCAACATCGACAGGGCAAGCTACTGTATATAAACAGAGAGCAAACCCCACTTCCTTCTAGCACTGATGATGTTACCTAGTCAGGTAATGAAATGTCTGTAAGCAAACAACCAAGCTCAGAGAG